GCAAATGTTCCACACCACGGACTAACTTCACGCTCTGACCTCACGACCAACACCTCACAAAACACTCTCACGATTCACGACTCTCCCTACCCAACATTCACAACAAACTAGCTCACAACATATGTTCAAAAAAAAATCCAGTTATTTGTGTACATAAAAGGATGCTGGTACTGTCACTTTGTTTGGGGAGGGAGACGAAATCGAGGGCGCTGAAGGCTCCCGGACGAAATGCGTGATGGTGGTCAGGAAAGGGGCTGAGTGAGCCCTTCCCCATAGATTTTTGACGCATACATGAAATTAAGGAGATTGGCAAAACAAAGTGTGGGAAAACCTGAAAAAAGATGGAACAAAAGAACGAGCGTGTGGCCAAGAAGCCTTCTTCGGCGAACAAAGAACAGTAAAAAAACAATATAAAATAAAAGAAACACTTAGCTGCAACTTAGCTGGACATTATTTTTGGATTGCGATTGGGAAGTACTAAGCCTGTTTAAAACGTGAGCCATGACCAACCTAATAGATCAACTAATTAATTAGGTATAAAACTTCCATGGTTGCATTGCAAGTAATTTGATTGAAAAAAAAAAAGCAGACATCCAAAAGACAACAGACTACACCATATTTTATTGTGGCAACAACACGAAGACTCTTGGAACAGGGTTTGCTGTGAAGAAAGAAGCCGACGGTGCAGTCCTAGGTTTTAAACCAGAGAATGAAAGCTTGCGCTCTTTGCGTGTGCGAAGAAAACTGTATAACTCAACATTTATAAATATTCATGCTCCTACCGACGATACAAAAGATCGGGATAAAGAATCCTTTTATTAGAAACTAGAAAAATCTACGATGAGGCACCACGACATGATATTAAAATATTGATTGGAGACTTTAACTTTAATGCCAAAATAGGAAAAGAAAAGGTGTTATGCCAACTATTGGCAAGGAAAGTCTGCATGAAGAATCCGATGACAATGGGATCCGACTTATAGACCTGCTTTAGGAAAAGGTATGTCAGCAGCACCAAGTTTCCACACTAAAAATATACATAAAGTTACTTGGAAGTCACCAGATGGAATCACTCACAACCAAATTTATAATCGATCGGAGGCATGGATCAGATGTACTAGACGTAAGGAGCTATCGAGTAGCAGATGCAGTCTCTGACTGTCTACTTGTAAGGGTTGATATAATATAAGCAGCGAATGAGCATAATTCACAATGGCCGAAATCAAAGAGAGAAACGATACGATTACCAAAAGCTCACCAAAGACCCACTAACCGCAATAGCTTACCAGAATGAAGAAGAAACACAACTAGAAACATCAAAGGAGGAATTAAACAGGAAAAACAACATAAATGAACAGTGGGAAATAGGATAAAAATGCTATGAAAATATCAGCAGAAAAAGTAGTAGGATTTCCATCAACTAACAGCCGTTTAGGCTGGTTTGATAATAAATGCAGACAATGTACAAGATAAAGATTATCAACCACCACATGGAGGAGTAAAGGATTTAATAAACTACCCAAATTGGGAAGAAACTACAGAAGTAATCTATTCTATGAAAAAACACAAAGCCCCTGGAGAGGACCTCATCACAGGAGAAATTATTAAATATGGAGGAAGATAAAGAGACACGGAGACAAAAACTTAGGAGGAAAAGTTGGCAAAAAGAGAAAATCCAACGGAATAGGGAAAAGCGCTAATTAGCACAATTCACAAGAATACATGCGCACAGAGTACAGACGAATTTCCCTATTGAATGTTTCACACGAAATACTGACAAAACTAACGGGTACAAAACAAAAGACTACAACCGTACACTGAACAAGGTTTAGGTGACTACCAATGTGAACAAATTCTAGGTGACTACCAATGTGAACAAATTCTAGGTGACTACCAATGTGAACAAATACTAGGTGACTATCAATGTGAACAAATTCTAGGTGACTACCAATGTGAACAAATTCTAGGTGACTACCAATGTGAACAAATACTAGGTGACTACCAATGTGAACAAATACTAGGTGACTACCAATGTGAACAAATTCTAGGTGACTACCAATGTGAACAAATACTAGGGGACTACCAATGTACCAATGTGAACAAATACTAGGTGAGTACCGATGTGAACAAATACTAGGCGACTACCAATGTGAACAAATACTAGGGGACTACCAATGTGAACAAATACTAGGTGACTACCAATGTGAACAAATACTAGGGGACTACCAATGTACCAATGTGAACAAATACTAGGTGAGTACCGATGTGAACAAATACTAGGCGACTACCAATGTGAACAAATACTAGGGGACTACCAATGTTAACAAATACTAGGTGACTACCAATGTGAACAAATACTAGGTGACTACCAATGTGAACAAATTCTAGGTGACTACCAATGTGAACAAATTCTAGGTGACTACCAATGTGAACAAATACTAGGTGACTACCAATGTGAACAAATACTAGGTGACTACCAATGTGAACAAATACTAGGTGACTACCAATGTGAACAAATACTAGGGGACTACCAATGTACCAATGTGAACAAATACTAGGTGAGTACCGATGTGAACAAATACTAGGCGACTACCAATGTGAACAAATACTAGGGGACTACCAATGTGAACAAATACTAGGGGACTACCAATGTGAACAAATACTAGGTGACTACCAATGTGAACAAATACTAGGTGACTACCAATGTGAACAAATACTAGGTGACTACCAATGTGAACAAATACTAGGGGACTACCAATGTACCAATGTGAACAAATACTAGGTGAGTACCGATGTGAACAAATACTAGGCGACTACCAATGTGAACAAATACTAGGGGACTACCAATGTGAACAAATACTAGGTGACTACCAATGTGAACAGAGTCTAGGTGACTACCAATGTGAACACATAATATGTGAGTGCCAGTGTGAACAAATACTAGGGGACTACCAATGTGAACAAATACTAGGTGAGTACCGATGTGAACAAATACTAGGTGACTACCAATATGAACAAATACTAGGTGACTACCAATGTGAACAAATACTAGGCGACTACCAATGTGAACAAATGCTAGGTGAGTACCGATGTGAACAAATACTAGGCGACTACCAATGTGAACAAATGCTAGGGGAATACCAAAGTGAACAAATACTAGGTGACTACCAATGTGAACAGAGTCTAGGTGACTACCAATGTGAACAAACACTATAGGTGACTACCAATGTTGATTCACACAAAGATCAACAAATCAACGAATGATCAGTGTTTCACCATGAGATGCCTTTTAGAGAAATGTTACTAATATAATCCCAGGATACACCACCACTATGTGAACTACAAAATCGCCTATTACAGCATCAAAAGACATCACCTCTATGTGGACTACAAAAGGGCCTATGACAGCATCAAAAGACATCATCTCTATGTGGACTACAAAATGCCATATGACAGCATCAAAAGACATAACCTCTATGTGGACTACTGAATGGCCTATGACAGCATCAAAAGACATAACCTCTATGTGGACTACTGAATGGCCTATGACAGCATCAAAAGACATAACCTCTATGTGGACTACTGAATGGCCTATGACAGCATCAAAAGACATCACCTCTATGTGGACTACAAAAGGGCCTATGACAGCATCAAAAGACATCATCTCTATGTGGACTACTGAATGGCCTATGACAGCATCAAAAGACATAACCTCTATGTGGACTACTGAATGGCCTATGACAGCATCAAAAGACATAACCTCTATGTGGACTACAAAATGGCCTATGACAGCATCAAAAGACATAACCTCTATGTGGACTACAAAATGGCCTATGACAGCATCAAAAGACATAACCTCTATGTGGACTACAAAATGGCCTATGACAGCATCAAAAGACATAACCTCTATGTGGACTACAAAATGGCCTATGACAACATCAAAAGAAAACTGCAGGTAATGTGTTGAGTCTGGATGACCAAAGTTATTACCCTCAATTAGATTTGCATAATTTTAAACTTAATCGGCAAGCAACAGAAGATATGATTGTGGAGATTGAAGTACCCACTCGTACCCTTGCTTTGTCTGCGTCTGGGTGGTGTTATCACTAAACTAGTACCACTAGTACCCTTGCTTTGTCTGGTTGGTGTTAGCACTAAACTAGTACCACTAGTACCCTTGCTTTGTCTGGTTGGTGTTATCACTAAACTAGTACCACTAGTACCACTAGTACCCTTGCTTTCATTTGACTCCTTTACTCGGGGAGATCATAGGCGGATTCTTTTAAATCACAATCACTCACACAGACGTCAACAAACAGAATAATCTCTGCTGCAATCGCTTACTACCGTTTTTATTCCACCCGTCATATTCGTGTTTATTGGCTTCCTGCAGAACAATGTAACGAATTGTGAATAAAGCATAGAATTGTATCACAAATAACACACATATTTATAATCAATCTAGCCTCGAACCACGATCCTAATGAACCTTCTCGTACTTCCAATTCCTGATATGTAGTCTTCATAAACATTTATATGGACTTACAAATAAAATCACGTTTAATACAAAGTTTTTCTGTGACTTTTTTTCCTATTAAAACTAGTGACGTTTATTCCCTGACTTTTATTCCCTGACTTTTTTCCGCTCACCAGTTGCCAGGAACGTGAAACACTGTGCACTAGCCAGTGTGCCCATTCCTTAAGACTGCCCTGTATGGTCTAAATGCACTAGCCAGTGTGCCCATTCCTTAAGACTGCACTGGCCATTGTGCCCATTCCTTAAGACTGCACTGCATGGTCTACGTGAAGTATGTTTTTAACTTGCTCTTATGTAAAAAAAAAATTATTAGGCTATGCTATCCCAAGGCTCTGTATTCAAATATTTAAACGCAACTCCTCCTTTACAAAACCTTTTACATAAATGGTTTTCTCTATAGCAGAAGAGCTCGTACATTAGCACCAGTGTATTTTGTGTGGCTGCTCCACGCTCAATGATTTTTATCGGGCGTAAAGCAGCAGTCGACTGAACTATGTAGTACAAACAAAGGCGGTTACTTTTTGCTGTAGGAATATGTAGGTCGTAGTTCTTTTTGTAAAGTCAGACAGTAAATGACATCTTGACCGGTTGAATTATACTCAATCATACGGTTGTGATAAGGTAAGCATTTTTGTGTATAATAGGATAGGAGTGGTGTAGTTAATAATTATTTTTTTCCTTATTTTGACCCGTGTTATCAACTGACATACTCCTGTCCACAGAACACCGAGGCCATGTCTTCAAAAGTGTATTACGTACTTCTGCCGATCACTTCACTGCTTTCCGTGTTATATTTCTACTACAAATCGACCTCACGGAACATCTGGGAACAACTGGGAATACCAGGACCAAAGCGAGACTCGGTCTCTGACCCCCGGGATGAACTTAGGACCAACTTCCCCCAGGTGCTCGGCCAGTGGCGGGAAAAGTACGGCAGGACGTACGGTGTGTATGGCTTACAACGGAACAGCCCAACTTTGGTGACGACAGACCTGGGGCTCTTGAATCACATCATGGTGAAAGACTTCAACAATTTCAGGGATCGTTATTTCTTGAACCTCACCCACAGCTCCGTGACGGACGGTCTGTTCTTCTTGTCAGGGAGTCAGTGGAGACGCAACCGCCACGTCATGACGCCCTTGTTTACGCCAGCGAAGTTAAAAACAATGCTTGGCCACGCCAACTCGAGTGCGCAAAGTCTGGTCGAATTGGTGAAGGAATACAAAAAGGATGGGGAGTTGATTCCCGCCAAAAAATTAGCCGCTAAATTTGCAAGTGACGTCATTGCCAAATCGGGCTTCGGTTTAGATGGTCAGGCCGTCACCAAAGAAGACAACGAATTCTTCTTTAACATCAACCGCTACCTGGTCATTGGAACTCTTCCCCAAAAAATATTTAATTTTCTGACATTCTATTTCCCTGCCCTGGCGGATCCACTTCTCACCATTTTCCCGTCCATGGACGTGATTCCACGAGAAGCTGATCATTATTTTATCGCTCTGGCTGAGGCGGCGCTGAATAGGAAAAGGCGAGACAAAGAAAGTGGGCGGGAGCAAGGGAATGCCAAGGACATGTTGGACCATCTGGTCGATGTCGAAGTAGAGAACGATGTAGTTTTAAAGGAAGGCGACAGAGCTATGACACGGAATGAAATTATTGGTAAATCTTTCTCAAAATGAAATCTTGTTGTAAAGAACGCATTAAAGTTAAATCATCATTAAATTAGAATGAATAGTTGAGAAATTTTGTAGGACAAGGCGAGTAGACACATTAAAAGTTGAAGTAATAAGTAATTAAATTAACTAAGGGTATACAAATGGACTGTTGCCAGAAAATTCCAATTTCTACATGTTTCGTTTCTTTTTTTCTGGGAATTGTTATTATTTCAACTAATTAGCAAATAAATTAAATACTCTATTTTTGTAACCATCTTTCCAAATCAACTAATAAATTGCAGCATAGCTTTATAAAATTCTATAGTATTCAAGTCTCTTATCTTTAAATAGAAGATACAGTTTTAAGTGAGAACTTCATTGCGTGGTAACGTCAGCTCTGTGTGGTATCATTATGGGAACGACCTGTCTTTGATTGAGATGTACGCCCTCTTCCAATGTTCAGGTAACTCAACTCTCCTGATATTTGCGGCCTATGAGACAACGTCATCTTGTCTGATGAGCACGATGTATTGTCTGGCCAAGTACCCGGATGTCCAGGAGACACTCATTGCTGAGGTTGACAGAGTTATGCAAGGCAGACGACAGCCAGAATATGACGATCTGGTGGAAATGAAATACATGGAACAGGTAAGCGCAACTTTATAGTTGTTGTTTTGTTGTTTTTTTAAATTGCAGACAGACTTGTGGGAGTGGGGAGGGGGGGGGGTCATTGCACATCGAGAATTGCTTGAACGGATGAGGGGGTCGTTCTGCCAGGAGCGGCACTTTCTGGATCAAGGCATTTTCGGTCCTCTTTATGCAGTTCTGGCTTTATATATAGGCAGCTTTATGTGTAGGCGACATAGGTGGCTGCCTGGAGCGGATTTTTTTCTCCAAAAAATGGGGGGGGGGGGAGGGGGGGAGTGACAGAAACATTTTTTTTTCCTTTTTTCTAAAACAATGTTTGGAATACCCCATTTATTCAGTTAATGGCTGATTTTTACTTTTTTTTTCACGTCACAGTGACGTTACAGTGATTTTATATGATTTTAAAAAAAAAAAACTAGTGAATTTTTTTTTTTTAAAGTTTTCAAAGAATTCATGGATGTTCGAACTGTGGCAGGAGGTGGGGAGGAGCGGCGAGAAAGGGGGTAGGAGGGGTCCACCCCAGGAGGCACTTTTTTCTGTAAAATTCGGGGCGACATTTTCGTCCTTATGCAAAGAAAAGATAAAATTGTCGTCAAGGATTCATGAGAATGTTTGTTTTATTTGTCAAGTGATCCATGAACCAATGAGAATGTTTTTTTTGTTTTTTTGTCAGGTGATCAATGAATCAATGAGAATGTTCCCTCCAGTGGCCCACCTTAAAAGAGTTCCAAGGGAGACAAAAACCTATGATGGCGTGACCATCCCCAAAGGGACCAATGTCTACATCCCTCTCCTGTCCATGATGAGTGACCCAGAATACTGGCCTAATCCTGACCAGTTCGACCCAGGGCGGTTTTCACCCGACAAAAGCAGCGAGCTGGACACTTTGAAATTCATGCCTTTTGGCGTCGGTCCTCGACATTGTATTGGGCAGCGATTTGCCCTGATGGAACTAAAGGTTAATACCCGTAAGATTGTGTCTATTTAAATCATGATACTGTGAACAGTTCTCAAACTAAATTGTCAAAGTGTTCTGGGCAGGAATGGACTGGGGAGTTCAAGCTGCCCGGGAAAAAATCAAAGCGGCCGGGGAAAAAAAAAAAAAAAAAAGGGGCCCTATCTTCTTGACTTTTATTTTTATTATATCACCGGTCCTAGTGGCCCATCGGGAATCTTCCCGGTGTCCCGGCGGCGCAGTCCACCCCTGGTTCTGGGTGGTAAACTGCTAGAGTATAAAACCTTGTATTCGTCTCTTTTTCTAAAAATATAATCTGGTTTAGCACAATTAAGTTTTTGTTGAAAAATATATTGTTTAAATATAAGCAATATATGATCACAATTCTCTTGCTGTCCTCTCAGATACTACATTTCAGCTATGTGAAATCTTTATTTTATTCCGTTTTTAAATGTTGTTTGTTCACTGATGAAGGCTTCTTACCGAAAACTTTGTTGTTTTGTTGCGTTCATTATTTAAGGTTTTCCCATTCTTTGTCTCAATCTTTTCCTTTTTTGCTAACCTGATTGCAGTCTCTCCCCTCTAATCACCATATGATACCAGAAGAATGACGTGTTTATCATGTATCTTGTTGCGTCTTTTGGCTGCTGATTATTAGAAGATTTTGGAAAGACCGCCATTAATCTCTTGACCGAAGAATTCTTTCACCTCATTATGAATTCGTTTTTGTTAGGCTTTTTTGTTTCAGTTTTTTCCTTTCAAGTTTTCCCATTGTGTGTGCGTCATATTTCCTTGATAATCTGAAGCAAGGCACGGCAACTCACCAACATTTTCTTCCGTTTCAAAAAAAAAAAAAGTTTAATTTCACCTTTTGTCCGTCCAGGTTGCGCTTAGCCAACTTCTGTCGTCGGTCAGGTTTGTCTTGACAGAGCAGACAGAGCCCAAACTTGGATCAGATGTCTTCACGGTGGCACTGGTGGCGTACGACTTCCCGTTCCCGGCCAAACCCATCTTGTTGGATGTTACCTTGAGGGAGGGCAACAATTAATCGTACTGGAAAGTAACCCAACATGTTGGATGTTGTATTGAAAGACAGCCAGTAGTCGTACCGGACAGTTGCAAAAGTGGAGGAGATAGAGCTACCCACAAAGTCACGGCGATCAAATGTCTCAGATGATACAACAACCGCAAAACATGACAATCCCATTAACACAACCACAAAACATGACAATCCCATGAACACAACCGCAAAACATGACAATCCCATGAACACAACCACAAAACATGACAATCCCATGAACACAACCGCAAAACATGACAATCCCATTCTTTATTACGATCTATCAACGATCTGTCAGGGAAAGTTTAACTAAAAAAGACTATAACCCAACGTGATTATACTGTGGCACAAGACGTTCATGTACATAATATACACAATATATACGTTCATACACATGTACGCAATCTAGACATCCATATATACAGATATGCATGTGCACAATCAAGACGCTCATAATTACCGATATTTAAGTGCACAATATAGACGTTCCTAGACATGTACGTTTCACCACAAATTGTGTCTTCTCAATCACCTCTGGGTTCATTTATCCACATATTAACCCAAAGTGTCAGAGAGAAACTCCGTACCCAAGACATAAACGCAACTGAGTCAAAGACTATTTGGGACTTTAGCAGATGATGACTATTGTTTGTCCATAATCACCACTCATCTTTATACACCATCCACCTTTATTCACCGCTCACCTCTTTTCTCCACCCATCTCTATACACCACTCAACTCTCTATTCACCACTCACCTCTGAACACCACTAATCTCTATACACAACTCGCCTGTATACACAGCACATAGTTTCAGTGATCAAGTTCTATCAATAAATCTTTGGTATTTGATATGATATCAATTTTGATGTTGTTATTTCATATCGATACCGGTACCTCATAGTTGTTTCTGCTGGATCTTAGAAGACTCATTTAATGAGATCTTCCGGGAATATAATTAGTTATAAATAAGCTTTACTTTTGTATCGTTTTCATTCTTGCAAACCTAATTTTGTTGTGGACTGAAGTGACCAAGTGGCACGTGACACAGTGTTGGACTGAAGTGACCAAGTGGCCCGGGACACAGTGATGGACTGAAGTGACCAAGTGGCACGGGACACAGTGTTGGACTGAAGTGACCAAGTGGCCCGGGACACAGTGATGGACTGAAGTGACCAAGTGGCCCGGACACAGTGATGGACTGAAGTGGCCAAGTGGCCCGGGACACAATGATGGACTGAAGAGACCAAGTGGTCCGGGACACAGTGATGGACTGAAGTGACCAAAACGCCCGGGACACAGTAATGGACTGAAGTGACCAAGTGGCCNCTGAAGTGACCAAAACGCCCGGGACACAGTAATGGATTGAAGTGACCAAGTGGCCCGGGACACAGTGATGGACTGAAGTGACCATGTGGCCCGCGGCACAGTGATGGACTGAAGTGACCAAGTGGCCCGAGACACAGTGTTGGACTGAAGTGACCAAGTGGTCCGGGACACAGTGATGGACTGAAGTGACCAAGTGGCCAGGACACAGTGATGGACTGAAGTGACCATGTGGCCCGGGACACAGTGATGGACTGAAGTGACCAAGTGGCCCGGGACACAGTGATGGACCGAAGTGACCAAGTGGCCCGGGACACAGTGATGGACTGAAGTGACCAAGTGGCCCGGGACACAGTGATGGACTGAAGTGACCAAGTGGCCCGATACACAATGATAATCTTTTCTTTATATGGAGAGGCGACTTTTCCGGATAACTGCAGAGTTTGTATCGTGAAAGAGATCAGGGCAACAAATCATGGTCCGCCGATGGCGCCTCTAACACTAGCTACGCCACTGGACATCTTGTTACTCGGCACCAAAAGTGTCCACCATGAGGACCAGCTATCATGTTATTTCTATCGGGAAATAGAGCTGAAATTAAGGGCGCCAAAGGCTCTTGAGAAAATGCTGGATTATTTCAAAGTCAAGAGGCATATTTTGGAAGATACCTTAATTCAGTTTTTCTAGCAGACCAGTGATTCTAATCCTTTTTTAAATTACGGCGCACTAAATTATTCTGAAAATTTTTGCAGCACATTGGAGAAGAAAAAAAAAGGGGGGGGGGGGGGAGGATTTATTAATTTGTTTATATATATTCAATGAGAATGTTGTGTCTGGTTCAGCGAGTATTTCAATAGAAACGAGGCTCCAATGTCGGAAAACAAGCTCGCATTTCGTCATCGATCCCAAGAAGTTTCTCTCGCGTTTTTTATTTGATTTCAGTCAATACCGAAAAACCGAAACCGCAAGACCACAAAGATGCAAAGGCCGTCAGGAGACGTCAAATATCTTGACCACTCCCCGGGCGATACTGACCTCAACCACGCCACTGTCAGGCAACATTATCATCTGACTTAAAAGAACTCATGATTTAAAAGAACTCGTTGATTAGAATGTTTGTCATCAAGAAAGCAAGGGAGGTGGGGTTTTGCCGAAAAAGCATTTGTTTCTATTTTACTTGCATGTCTTCCTTTTTTTTCTTCCTTCTTTTTTTTTTTTTTTTTTTTTTTTTTTTTTTTTTTTTGTCTGAACATTAAACCACTTTGATAAACGTGAGGAATTTTTTAACGTGTTTCCGGTCGATGTTGGTTATAAATCATAGCGGTGAGAAGGGCGCCAACACTTGAATCCATTGTAACTGATCATGTACTTCCAGGAAATGTGGCTGTCAGAGGCGTAGCGAGGGTGGGGGCAGATGTCCCCGGGCGCCAGCTAGTTAGGGGCTCCAAAATGTGCTTTGATATTATTTTATTGATGAAAATAATGGGCTTGAAAGTTGAAAAAAAGAAAAAGGGGCGCTTTAAAATGGATCTTGTCCCCGGGCGCGAATCTTGTCCCCGGGCGCCAAACACCCTCTTTACGCCTTTGGTCGCTGTTACTGATACATGAGCTGGCTATGCTTACGTCAATCAATTAAATAACGGAGTTTATAAGCATGATGCCGTAGTCCATGCTCAAGATTTTGTACATCCCGCTCACCCAGGAATCCACACAAATACTATAAATGGACATTGGATGCAGGCCAGGTGTAAATTAGCCTATTTCCAAGCTACATTGTGTGCTTTCCAGTGGCGCTTTCACTTTCACACAGACATAATTTGAACACGTTTCCGACAGTTGTTGGGTGACTATTATCATATTTGACCAAGAACTTGGTAGGCAGTGGCGTAGCGAGGCAGGTGCGGACCACACCGGGTGACACCATTTTAGGGGTGACACCCGATTGAAAAATTGCACATTTACAGGGCACACATTGCTCGCAAAAATCAAGATTCATAAAAGAATAACCGATCACACATATATTTTTCACAAATGTAACCAATCCAAATGCGTGCTTTAGTAAAAGTTCAAGGTTGATGCTATACTGTGGACTTATTTTAACAAGAAAAAATTGATCATAGAAGGGTTTTTTTTTTTTTTTTTTTTTTTTTTTTTTTGGGGGGGGGGGGTAGTGACACCATGAGTTTACCGCACCGGGTGACACCAACCCTAGCTACGCCATTGTTGGTAGGCATGATTAAACTGCTTGTTGAGTAACAATTATCACATTTGAGCATTTACTCGTGGTAAAGCTAAAACATTATTAAATTGAGAAAGTAACTGTTCATTCTATTTTACTAGTATCATGAATTTGGCACCAGCGTTCGGAGGATCCCAATCCTGTAACACCGCATCAATTATTGTGTTGCTCGCAATCTCTCTTAAAAAGTATTGTTCCGTTTCATGATTGAGATAGTGGATCTAAGATTTTAAGATTTTCCGAATCCCAACATCAATACGCTTCTTTCTCTTGTGGTTCCAAAATTACATATAGGCTATAACTATAGGAATTTCGTTATTTATCAGTCGTAATCTATGTCAGTTTTGCATTATTTTGAAACAGACACGTTGAATTGGGAAAAAAATGACTTATACTCACATAATAATATAACTCATAGTTTTTAGAGCCGTTCTTTAGTCTTCAAATATTTATTAAATTACAGAGAAGGGGGTCATAAAAGTTTAAAAAAAATTTAAATTAAAAACTTAAGTTGAAGTGGACCACGAGAAAAAAAAGTATTGACAGCAATGAACTTTGCTGAAGAGTCTTCAAAAAAAAAAAAAAAAA